CGATGGGGAAAGGGAAGGGAGATAAAGTTGGAATTTAACGGATCGACGCACCGTACAATGTAAAAGGACGATCAAGGATCAAAGAGCAGGCGCGTAAAAAGCAACACGGGGATCTCGCCTAAAGTAGACGCTGGATCCTCCAAGTAACCGTCGCGAAATTATTTCTCGCAATTAAACTTTGCGAGATATCTCCCGTTCGTGCTCCTCCGTGTCTCCTCGAGTCGCCATTATTATTACACGCGAGATTAAATATCGGCGTACGCCGTACGTGAGCGGCACTGATTATGCCACTTGCCCTCTCTTCAGAGAGCGCACCTCAGGTCGCGTGAACCCGGGTCCCGATCTGACCGAGAATCAAATTTTCACGCCCGGGGCGGGTTCTCGAATGAATTTCGCTCGCGGGGCTGCACCGAAGAAATTATTACGTACGGCGTGTTCGCGCGCCCTCCCCTCTTCCCCCCGCGCTAATCGAAATCGCCGCGTGGAGCGGTCTTTTCTCTCGTAATCAGCACTTTATCGATGACCGGCGCAATCGTTTATCGGATAATTTTCGAATAACTCGTTGCTCAGCAGGTGCGTTAATACCAATTAGCAAAGGTTTATCTTTCTCTCTTTCTCTCGCCCCTTGCAATCTTCTTTCGTTCCGCTGGATCTTTCGACTCTTGATAAGTCAATCATGACTATCTGTACGAATGTGGGAAAAACGGCTGTAAAGTTGATTATTTCTTTAATATCGATGTAGCATTTATGTATCCGTGAGAAACGCGGTGTGTATCTTCCTTCTCAGTGCTATACAACTAGGTAAAGTGCAAGTGACGCGATAACAAAGAAAACAAATTTCAACTCGACTCCCAACGGGGTACGCCGTGATTATGCATCGTCTCCCTTGCTCGATATTAAAAGGAGTTATTAGTTTACCCATCGCGAATCTTGAGCGAAAGAGTCGCGCGGCCGAGGCGTGTCGGAGATGGTCTCGAATCAAGAGAAGACGCTCGCGGAACCGACACTCCCAACACATTACGGCTAATAAAGCCGTCGTTTTCCATAAAAAGCGGACATAAAAAGCATCGTTTAGCAAGTATATACACCGTTACGTGGAAATATAAGGATTTTTCGTGAGAAGGAAAGAAAGGTGGGACATAAAGTCCCCTCGAACTCTCTTAACAACGTAGTAATAGAGGCTTGACCGATCCTCCCCCCTTCCCCCTCTCTTCTCTTATTTCCCCTGTGAGAACCGTTCGTCCAATTACTGATTAACGATCTCACCTCCGTGGAAATAATTATAAAAACTTTCCGAGGAATGCCACTTAACCCCGGGGGCGCGAGCGCGCGACAGAGGATCCGTGAGGGGGAGAGGAGGGGGATGCGCGACCTTAGACTCGCTGAGGCGGTTTCGATCGACGGTCCATATAAAAGCGATAAATCCGTCGCCGCGCCAAGAACCCACGACGAGCAACGGAAGGGGTAAAGTTGCTCCACGAAGCTGCATCAACGAGCGCGGCGTGGCTCACCTGGCGCTTAATGACGTGACGAGAGGGAGACGTGTCCCCCCGGTTAACAGACCGCGATATCGAACACGCCTCCGGTCACCAGTTTCCGGTATATCGCGCATTCGCGCAAGACACTATACTTTGCGATCGAGAAAGCTGAGATTCATTCAAACCTTGTGATATTATACTCTAAATTCCTGTGAAATATTAACTCTATTCAAATGAAATATAAAGGTAAATAAAAAAAAGTAACATTTTTTCATTTTTATTTGCGATCGTTGCGTGCATTATTCATTCATATTTTTGCAGCTTAATTTTTCGTCGCTTGTATCTCAGACATCTTTAACCTCCCGACATCAAAGAGAAAAAAACCGTTCTTTTTACTTTAGCTTTTGGCGTCTTCTATATAAAGAAGATGCGATGAATCTGATACCGAAGTATATCTCAGCATTTCTTTTGACTCGCGACATTATTAAATGGCTCATTAATTATAACGTTTACAAGGTAACGGCTAGGATGATTAATTTGACGTCGCGGAGATGCGGAGAGAGGGTAGTCGTCTAATAAAGCGTCTTTCTAAAGTCGCGTCTAATCATCGTGAGTAAATTCACACCACGCGCACGTAGATAAATAGATAGACACTTTATTAAACATGCTTTAAAAAATAGTACGTAGTTTTTTTCACCACAATTTCGAGCAATCACGAAATTCTCACGCGCCCGCGTTACGTCATTTGTTTCAAATTAATTAAGCACCGCGTATACGACGCGCCGCGCCAACCCTCTACCGATCTCTCGGTATGCCGTCATTTTTCGAATTCACCGAGAATCCCCAGGCCAGATAGTCTCACGCAGATAGCGCGCGAGCTCCATACAGGTGCCCGAGGTGATCCCCCTGTTGCCCGAGCGCGGTGAAACGAGCCACGGCGGAATTGAACCCGGCAGGGGGTTCAACGACGCCTAAGTTGTGGGTGGCGAACGATCGCCGGGAGGGGGATGAGGGTTAAATCCGAGGGAGAGGGGGAAGACAACGACCATGGCGCGTATAGTCCGTATATCCCTTTGTTCGACGCGTGGCAAGATAAATTCAGCTAATAAATGACCGGGGGCTATTTACCGTGGCGGTAGCGCCTCGTTATCCGGCTCGGGACTCTCTCGCATGTACACCCACACATATATATACGAATACACATACACGCGCGTGCACAACGACGGCGTGTTTTGCAGCATTTTGAGCATGGCTCAGTATCGGTAAGAGGCCGATAAATCTTGGCGCGCTCGAGTCCTCCAGGCGCGCACCGAGGAGTCATCCCGCCCTCCTCTCCGACGCTATATACACGTGTGTGTATAAATGTGAGTATCCTCTCTGTCCCGCTACGTAAACCACGACTTCCTCCCCCATCATTCTCCTGGTAGCTACCAGAGAGCACTCCGGGGAGCGAGTGAGAAACGAGCTGGTATGGATGCATCGCGGGTACAGTTATGTCCCGTACTTATGAGAGAGGGCGGGTATCGGTCCTCTCGCGTCGTGAGGACTTGGCCTCGCTATCGCGAAATCAATGTCCGTCTTAATTATCGCCCTTGGCCTCTCGCTGCCCTCTCCGTCCCGCCCGCGTAGATTCCTCACGCCCCCTCACACACGGGTTTCCTCCGCGAGAAAGTTTCTTCTACACGCCGACGACGCGATATCGTAGACGCCACTAGCTTCTCGTCGAAAGAAGCGATAAGGTTAAAATGTAAAATCGCGTTTAAGGTATTTGGATCACGAATGGAAAAGAGATCAACGCTCCTCGCTTATGCACTGCGCGATTTATACGAGGTGTTTCTAAACCCTCGATCTTACACAAAATAATTAATTAATCTATAGTAACGAGAGCAATAATTATTGCCAAAATCTTGCAAATGTTTGAAGGTTAATTTTATTGATGATTAATTTAAAAGATGTCTTGATTATTTTTTGTATTATTGTTTCTCTTCATTATTATTATATTACAATAATTAGACACCAATATTTTAAAATATACATAGAACTAATGTACAATTAATAAACAAAATAACAGATTCGTGGAGTAATAATAGCAATAATAAAGTTCGCAAAGGATCTTAATTTCATTTTTTAATTTCCAAAAACAATATTTTTAGAGAGAACGAGAGAGAAAACTGTTTTACGATCTTTCGCTTTTTAGTGTAGGACTCGCGCATTAATGATCGTTGCGGAGTACGCAAAAGTCGAGGAGACCGCGAATAATGTTCCGTTCAACAATAGGAAGAGGCGACCGTTTCCATTCTGCCGCTTTTCGAACCGCGAAAGCTTGCGAATGGAATAATAGCCGCGCGAGAGTCGGCTATTAACGCGCCCCGCGTTTGCGTTTGCGGCGTGAGAATCTCAACGTTTGGACGATTTCGACCGTTGCATTCGTAGTTCGCGGATGCGAATCTGCGACGTCAGCACGTAGCGAGCGACTATTCTGCGAGTGACCTTAACTACGACGTACCTCGGAAGCAATTACGACTCTTTCCTGCGG